CCGAATTTCCCAGAGGAACCCACCCGAGGGATTAATAAAGTTCTATCTTATCTTATCTTATTTTATGTTTTGTTTGTTTGTTTTTTGGAGTGAATGAATGATATGCTTATTTTGTGATGACAAAAGACAACAGGTGCAGTTTGTAATGAGAAGAAAAAAATGGCCGTTAGCTAGAGGTTTCAAATGAGTTCATCCTTACCACCGATCAGTTTTGTCTTTGTTTTTTCAACATTTATTTTATTTTTGTCATAACGTTGATCGTTATCATGTGACCATCCTGTAGCAGGAAGGTCGCTGTAGCAGAAGTCATCTCCACTGAAGCCCCCTCACAGCAGAGGGCCAGTCATGCTGTTTATTAGCATTTGCTAGTTTTCAGTGAGAAAAAACATTTTCATCAAGTTTTAAATCCTTTCGTTGCTCTTTTCTCTGCGATTGTCATAAAATCGTCGTCCTCTTTTCAAGCCTTAGCTCGCTTTTATTTTGAAATATGAGTCTTGTGATCAGAGATGAATCTGTGCTGCATGATGTGCGTAACATCAGAGCGATAAAAGCCAGCTTTGCCTTTCAGTGATTCGCAGTAAGGACATAAATGACCTAAACTGAGACTGAAAAAAGTGCAGTCAGTTAAATGTTAGCTCACCTAACATGTAGCAGTGTTTACATGTAGCCATGTTTGACAGACTCCAGGGCTTTGATACCATAAGATGCCTCATATCCTCACAGACTCATGAGATCACACAGGTGGTCTGACCTGCTCGTGTCACACTGTGCTGTCTGTCTGTCTGTCCGTTGTTTTTCTCCTGCAGTGATGTTATGTAGCAGAAAAACAGTTGGATGCTGGAAAAGTGCAGAGCGATGGGTGACGTGTGGAGAACATCACAGTCTGTGTGTGTTCAACAGCTGTTAGAGCCACACTTTGTCCTTTCTGTGGTATAACTGCTGGATTTATTTTATTCCAACACTTAGAAACTGTCAGCAAAGCAAAACATGATGATTGGATGATCCTGTGTCACGTCCACAGTGTCAAACGTGCACAGAGACAGTGACACCCACAGAGAAACCCTCAGCTTGGTGTCCATTGCAAATCTGCACCTGTTGTCTTGTTTCTACTTTCTTTGTTGAACTCAGAAACTCGAGACTTGAGATGAAGAAAAATGTTAAATAATGGAATAAAAAAAAGATGATTATTAAAAAAAGTAAAGTAAAATTATATAAATAAATGAGGTGATGATATTTCTGTTTACTTTAGAAGTTATTATACACTGTATGCTGTGATTCTGATCTGGGAAACATTAAAGACATTCATAGCCAGACTGCTGACTTTGTGTTTTTATTCAGTCGCCTAACAGAAGTGCAGTAAGAAACGATTTAGCCCATCCTGATTTCTTAGCTGTTTGCATATTTGACACACTTACGTGTTTCAGATCGTGAAGCAAATTTTTATGATAGATAAAGACTGTAGGTTATAAGCGTAATAAGGCATCCAACACCACAGACAAAAGTGTGCCATATGCAGGTTATTTCCCCAAATCATTAAAACACTACTGTTACCATAATTTGCCCAAACCATGGATCATCCCATGTGTTTAATTAAAACTACTGTAACCAGTAACTTATCTTAAGTAATGTCACTCACTTGTTTTCACACTTTGAGCTCAACACCTTAAAATGAATAACGATATGATAATGAGCCCCACACTAAGATGTTCTGTAATCACTGCACAACCGTCTTCATTTCACTCATGTCTGCCTGTGTGATGCCAGAACCCTTAGAGAGGGAAAAAAAACATTAGCCAGCGGTTTGTCCTGGCAGGTCGGGCCTGGATCAACAGATTCCAGAGGTGTTGCTGTAAATCATGTGGTCAACCCTCCTTGTCTGTGAAAGGAGTGATACTGATTTTAACACAGTATGTGTTTCACATTGAATACACATTTTCCTCCTGCAGCATTTAACATTTGCCAACAATACAGTGTGTTACTGTAACCAACAAGCAGCCAGGAAAACACAGTTTTCTCCACACAAAATCAGTAACACAGAAAAGTGCTATCTAAAGGGTTAGGTCTGCAAGGCCCGCCCACACTCATGTGGACCTCCAGTCTCCCCCTCCTCTGGTCTCTGTCATCCTCCTGCTCCTGCAAAAACAAGCAAACAAAAACACATACATCCACCCTTTTTTCACTGTTTAGGGTTTATTAGGCATTAGCATTGATTAATCCTAAAATAGTTACCGTCATCTCAATTTCAAGTCAGTCACACTTAGTCCACATCATCAGTCCAGCCACAGTCCAATCACATGCATTTATCCAGTCACATGCAATCGTACCAATCATTGCTGATAGTGGAAAACCGCGCATGAATTTAAATATCCACTGACAGCAATATTACATCATTCCAAAAATAAAAACAATTCTTGTTGCTTTTGAAATGGATTGAATCGCTACAATCCTTTTAAAAACAGGACTTACCATTTAATATGGTCAGCGTCCTAGGTAGGTGAATTTCCTCAGAAGCCCGTTGTAATCTAGAGAAGCTCACCTTATATTTGCTCTCAATTAAAGTATTTTATAGCGCTTTTACTTCCAATCTTGCAGGCCTGCTTTTAAATCATCAACACACAAAATCTGCATCACTTTCAATAGAATCAATAATTTTATTTTTCTTCTATAATCCCAAACTTCAGGTACTGGAATGAAATAACTCAAATCTATGTAAACTATTTACATACCATTTTAAAGGTGAAAGCTGTCAGCGTGATTTGTTGTGACAATATTTTTTTGTGTTGCAACTCACTTTTCTCCTGTGTTTAAGATGAGCAGGGTTAAGAGTTCTGTCTACTTGTGGGGTCTCTGGTTTCTACCTTCGCTGTCAAACCTGCATATAATCAAACTCATCACTGACTGGACCTGAGGACCATCAGAAACCTCTAATATCTCTAAAATTTAGAGTCATTCTCCTCACATACAAGGTCTTGAATAAACAGGTCTCATCTTATATTAAAGACCTCATAACACATTACCACCATAAAAAAACCCACCTGTGCATTGAATCATTAGTTGCTATTATTGAACTCTGGCTCTTTCCCATAGGGTCTTTTATCCTCTGCTCTTTTCTTTTTCTCCTCACCCCTAACATCTTGCAGGAGATTGCTGCCTGTCCCTGAGCAAGACTCTGCTGGAGGGTTCTTCCTGTTAAAAGGGAAAACACTGCCACTGAGTTTTTTTCTTTAATATTTTAGGGTCAATATAAATTACACATTATGGAGAAATACAAAACTAGATAAAAGATCTCTTCATCTGGTTTAAAGAATAACGAAGTAATGTAATCTATTTATCTGTATCTAACAAAGCTCTTATTTTCTCCAGATCTTTCACTGGCCTGCTAAACATGCAACTAGAGCTATTTCTTAGCTTTAACCAATGACTTTATAGTAAATAGTGTGGCTCAACATGTTACAGTACTGAAAATTCTACAACAGCTTGTGCATCTTGCTCCGTGCAGACAGATGCAATGAAGTAAAAAATCATCTCACCCTGAGCAGGGACTTATCATTATCAGCACTGCGGTGCGTTCACGGTACATTGGTAAACTCAACACTCAACACACAGTAACATTTAAAATAAAATAAAAATAAAATACCATTGCCAATAAAATAACCCTGGGTTACACTCAGGAAAGCAAGCCTGAGCTCTGCGTGATCCGCTAATGATGCTACTACTGAGAGTAAAGTCTGGCTACACAAATACGTGAAATGTATAAAAGCCATTAATACAGGAAACCAGTAAAGGTACACAGCAAAATCTCCAGTGTTAAATTAACACTAGAGAGTGTCTATATGGGTCCACACCTCTGAGTGTTAAATACAACACTGTTGAGTGTTAAATTAACACTTTTGACAGTGTTATATGTTTAAAAGTAACCCAGTCAGTTTTGAAGATTAACAATGGCTAACACTAAGCAGTGCTGGTTTTCTAACACTGGAATATTTCTAACATTTTGAGTTATTTTCCAGTGGACCCATATAGACACTCTCTAGTGTTAATTTAACACTGGAGATTTTGCTGTGTATAAATATAGATGGAACATGATGCTTATGAATGTACATCATGGACAAATAACGCCAGTATTATGGCTTTCATAATAAAGATGTCTGTGCTATTGACACGCAGATGTGGTTAGCCCAATTCAATGCAAAAATATGAATGCTGCAAATTACCATAAAAAATAAATGAATAAATAAATGATGAAAACATTCACAACAACAAGAATAATAATAATAATAATAATATCATTTATATGATAAACATCAGCATAAACCTTCTGGTGAGGGCATACTTGCATTTCACAAGAATGTGAGCAGGTTATTAATCTGTCATCTTATTGCTGAAGAATAGAAACAATAACAGTAGTAGGTAAATGTCTTTATTGTGTGGCAGTTTGCAGTTTACATAAACATTGTTTCCACTTTTATATCTAAGTTATCGCAGAAAAACAAGTACCAACTGGAAATGTATTCTTAAAAGTTGTCATCAGCACATATGAGTCTGCGCACAATGGTAGCTGATAGTGAAATGTTTTTTCTTTTTTTTTAAATCAGACAGTAAAGAAGAATGACAGCTCTAAAAAAAGTTAAACTGAAGTTAAGAGAAGCTGTACTATATGAAATAGAAACTAACCACAGATATAAAAGATGCATTATTAGAGAAAAATTAAATGACTGACATGAAATTTACAATTCAGCTTGCTTTTCCTCGAGCACTTCAATAATTCTTTTCAGTTGTCCCAGTTCCTTTTCACTTTCCTCTATTTTCTCACCCAACTCCTCATTCTCCCTGTCAATGTTAGCCTTACTTTCCTTGACGGAATTCTTAATGTTCTCCATAAATGTATCAACTTGAGGAAAACCATCAGGTAAAACTTTTGCAGATTTCTTCACCAGTGCGATCAACGGGTCCATAAGGCTCAAGTATTCACTCAACAGTTCAGAACCGTAGTTCACTCCTTCCACACGCTTAGCCTGATGGGATAAAATGTAACAGTTTCATATTACATGAATGCAGTTTACTATGTTGTAACGTTATACTGGTCACATATATCCACAAGTTTCTCATAGCGGTTCTCTGAACATGCACTGACCTTCAGTCTGTCCATTTGTTGTTTTATGTTCTGATAGTTTTCTTTGAGTTGTTTCTGAAAATCCAGCATATACAGTTATTAAAAGAATTTAAATTACACCAGCAACTTTGTTTGTGGTGACTCGCAAAATTACTGAAGCTTAAGAAAAAACAATTTACCAGCTGGTCCTTGTCTATCAGTGCACTTGAAAGGCAAACCAGAGACAGCAGGGTGAAGATGAGGAACAAGCCTTTGGTGGTGCTGCAAACAGTCACTGATGCCATTGCTGTTCTTAGCAACTCTGTCTCTAAGTCAAAGTTGTACAGCGTTAAAATTTGAATGGAAGGTTTACAAACTGCAGCTGACTGTCTTCATTATCCAGTGGAGTTATCATTCAAAAAAGTGCAACTTTAAGGATTCACAAAGAATCACAACTGAAAAACTCAAATTACAAATCAATCCGAAACATTTTAATTTCTACATTAAAAAAAATGTGAAGTCTGTATAAACCATGTTACAGTGATTTACTTACCTGTGATGTTAAAAGAAGCTGATGAATGAAGGAATGAAAATACAGCACATCACAAAGTTCTTTTATACATGCTTGTGGTTACACCTCCCATTTTGCGCAACTGTTTGTGTGTGTGCCACTGTCAGTGTAAAAAGTGGGATAATGGGTATTACACATCCTGTGTGTTGCATTCTTTCATTTCATGAGAAACTTTACTTATTGCTTGTTTTGTTTTTTTCAGGAAAATGAAACTACATTTACAGGAAAACAAGATTCACAAAGGTGAGGATTTATGGCCTTGGCAACTGCCATTGTGTGAGTGCTTGTTTCTTTTGCTCTCCTCCACTCGTTGCCATCTGGTGTGAGTGTGGCTGTGAATGACAGGTGTAGCAGCCCTTGGCATCAAGAACAATAGAAGAGTCTCTAACGGGTGCAGCCATTTATTTCCTCACCAAACACGGCTCATTCTCTGGACATCGTTGAGCACCGTGAAAACTATAAAATAAGAAAAAATTGATACCTGTACAGTCCCCTTGAACCTTAGCAATAAGCAATATCAACAAATGCGCTTAAACTAAATCAGGTAAATTTAAAGAAAAAAATTAAGTAATTCTGAGATTTACAGTCATTGCTTAAATAAAGCAAAAAAAAAAGGCTGCTTAATCGGCATCAAGGTGTTTCACAGTTCAGTAAAAGTATAACATCAGATCACATTGCATCACATACCTCAGTCCACTTGCCAAGGGTGCAAACTCCCGTGAACATGTAAACATTCGTCCTGTTTCTCATGGGGCGCTGCTAGCTTGAGCGACACACGTCTAAGTTATAAAGGGTTCAGAAAGTGTGCTTCTTAAACTAAAAAGGAAAAAATATTCCCATGTACCTAGGGAACCTGTTCTGCCGTCATCCATTGGGGGCACACTGCACAGTTTGCCTGCCACCCGGGGGTAAGCAGAACTATTTCTTTACTTAGATGCTATTTTTGGTGGGACAATCTGGAGAAAGATGTGAGGAACTATCTCACGGCCTATTCCATCTGCGCCCGGAGAAAGAGTAGCACATCTCGAGCTGCCACGTTGCTGAAACCGTCTACCCACATTCAAGTAAGACTGTCATCTTCTTGGTTATAGACAGATCCCCGAAGGCTGCCCGCTTCATTGCTCTCAATAAACTTCCCACTGCTTCTGAAACTGCTAAAATCTTAGTAAACCATGTTTTCAGACTCCACAGAATCCGTACAGAAATAGTTTCTGACAGGGGGCCTCAATTGGTCCCCCAAGCCTGGAAGGTTTTTTCCTGTTCTTCCTTAGGAACCAAAGTCTGCCTGAGCTGTGGATTCAACTTCCAAACCAATGGGCACACAGAGAGGCTTAGACAAGAGCTTGAGGCCGCCCTGCAGCCCCAACCTATAACCCTTCCACTTGGCCTACTCAGTTGCCCTGGATTGGTTGCTGACAACTTTTTAACCTCTTTGGCTACAGTTCAGTCTCCGTTAAAAGCTTCTGTGGATTATGAACCATCTTTGTTCTCTTCTACAGAGTTAGATCTCACAGTGCGTTCTGTACAACTCCAATGTCAGCAGGTTTGTACATCCTCGCACCGCTTATGATAGAATATAAATTGCACTAAATGTGGACGTACATGGTGACGAAGGCCAACTGACATTAAGTTTGCCAGTGCACCCACATGCAGGCATTGCTGCACAACTAGAGCATATTTAAGAATTATATCTTTTTAAAGTAATCACATTTTATATTAAATATAACAGAACACTGACCTTTGGTATTGAATCTAAAGAAGACAGTTCTCCTGAAAATTAAGGTAGGACAGAAATCACTGGTGATATGATTTAAACAAATAAAAATGAAATCACATTTGTTAGAGCGAGCTACTATAAGTTCACAAAAACAAAAGCGAGGAAAACAGGGCTATTTACACACACACACACACACACACACACACACACACACACACACACACACACACACACACACACACACACACACACACACACACACACACACACACACACACAGAGATAGGAAGAGGGGAAATGGATATAAATGCAGACAATCACAAGGGGAAGACAAAAGTCAACCGAAGACACAAAAGATGACCATCAAAATAAAGACAGGGGAAAATCCAATGTATAACTACTAACCATGAACACAAGAAACTCACACTGAACAGGAAAACATGACTTTGGCTAGTGTTAAAATTAAAACCTTGACAAACCCACTGTGCATATAAAAGAAAATAACAAAAGACAGATTTAAGGAATGTGAAGCATTTTATTAAGAATTCAAGGTAAATAACGGCATTGCATGCGCTAAACTTTGTGGAAATGAAGTTCGCGTTTTCCTGTAAAACAAAAGTGAATATTACCACTTCTAGAGAACATAGGCACACAGACACACCCACAGACAAGCCAAGTCACGCACAGGTAAGCTGTGTCATGGGGAAGGGGGGAGGGGACACTAGAAGCATATAAAGCATTTTGTGGTGTGAGCCCTTTGTATTATCATTCATCAGTTCCCCTGTAGCAGGTGGAAAAACCCCAGCAACACTGTACTATAAGAGGATATTGCAGGTAGATTTTTATACAACATTTCCACTCAAATTAAAACATTTCACTTTAAAGATTTAAGAAGGAAATTTATAAATGTACTTTATGCTTTGTTTGTTTTTTTTCCCAGAACAGTGATGGCAGCTGTGAACTTATCCAGAAGCAAAGGAGTGAGTGGTGTCACAACCATCAGGGGTTTATTCATCATTTTCACCCTGTTGGTTCTGGTCAACCTTTCAAGTTCACTGATAAAGAAGGACCAACTGGTAAAATGATTGTGATATATTTATATCTATATTTTTTGATCTGCCAGTTGTAGTTTTATTTTGTTACACTGTTTGCCTTCACATGTTTCACATGGCTGCTTGTGGACATTCTCTATCTGGATTTGCAGGAAGAACTGAAAGAAAACATTCAGAAGTTACAACAAGCAGCAGTGACAAGGAAGGTGAGTCTGTCTCTGTCCATGTTGTGCTCATGAATGAGTAATGTGGAATGTCTATAACTGCTAATATAAATATTTATAAATCTATTAAACAACCAAAGCCCCCCCCCCCCCCCCCCCCCTCCAAAAGAATATAAAAGTAGCTTTTACACATTTGTCTCGTTTCATTTTCTCCTCCAGGATAATCTCAAGTTAGACAGATTCTATATTCCACTATTCTATGATGATTTTATGCACTTAATGGACATTTTGTCTGAAACTCTAAATACAACAATGGGAGATTTTCCACCAGTGTTGGATTTAATGAATGACCTGAAAACATTCCTGAAAGCCACCAAGAAGTACATAGACAAATACCTTGAGACGACAGCTGGAGAAATCAAGGACTATGAAGAGAAACTAAATGTTGTGATGGAGCGGCTAACACACCTAGAGAAACATAAAGATGAATTGTAACACATTAGTCTGCATCCGTCTCTTATATTGTGTGTATTCTGTTTGTAAATCTTCTCCTTTGTACCGTGCAGTTTCAGTTTCAGTTTTTGCCTTGAGAGTGGCCTTGATATTTTAAATTGCTGAATAAAGCTAACTGTAAACTTGTGTTTGACCTGAAAAAATAACTTGTCAAGTTTTTTTTTTTATCATTATCTTCATTATAAAAAAATTGTAATGCAAGTACAAACCAATGATGATGGGGATTTTGTGTGTGAAGTAGTTGATAGTTATTATTGATTTATATAAAATACTTTAATGTGAATAAAAATTGTTAATAAAACTGTTATCCTTTGCTTTTAGTTTTGCCTTTTTTCCCAGAAGGAAGTACGGCATCTGTGGCTGATTGGTGTCCATTGTTTACTGACTCACCAAATTTAAATTCTATAACCCACAAAGGAGAGAATATCAATCAGCTGTTTAGCTGCTTTTGACTAACTCGTTAATATACTCTATGTTTTATATATCCTTTCCTTCATTGCCATTCTGAAATAAAAGGGCCAGTCTATGTTTTCTAGTTATACTTCAATGAGGTGATGAGGATAATGAACTATCTGGTCAAGTTCCCTTTAATGCTACCAGACTAAAAGCACAGGAATATTGTAGACTAAATCTATGATTTTTATGAAAACATCAACCACCAAAGATGTACATTTCTTTGTCAAGTACAATTAGTAAAATGAACTATTTTAAAGGATATCTGAAGAATCATTGTCTGTGAATAAAGACATTAAAGTTGTAATAAATACCTATTTTTACAAACTGTGAAATTCACAAGAAAAGACGACAGCTGTGGCTGACTGCTGAAATTGGCAGTGTGCAAACCTACAACACATGCAATCATTATCAAATGATAACATGTGAGAAACACAGAAACAAATAGATGCAAAAACTTCTACTTCTTATACTTTTGTTTTCAGTGTTTGCATCACATTATGAACACTAGTATCTCCATAGATAGTTACCAGGTTATAAATATATTACTTCATGCTAATGTTGCAATATATGTAGTGTCTATTTTAGTGTTAAGATATACTATTGATCATATGATAAAGATTATTTGAATATTAAATGAATAACTGAAAACTGGAATTATTGGAAAAGTGGAATATGAACTGGTCTCATTTTTAACAAAAGTGATGCTGGCTCTAACACTGGATTACATTTGCTTTCTGTTCATTTGTATAGTCTTTTACAATGTGTAAAAAAACATTTCTTTGTCTTTATAAGCAGTCCATGTGTTAAGCAAACCCAGTCTCAGGGCAGTTTGTAAAATAATCCCAGGAAAA